AGAAACTCAGCAATAAAAAATTGTGTACTTTTTTAGTTATCGGCAAATAGAATATTGAATTCATCGTAACATTTTTCAGCTTGTTTTCGGGAAAGTATGTTATACACATAAATTAAAAGGGTTTCAAGGGGAAGACTTTAGCCAAGTTTCGTTAAAATCGGTGAAGCCGTTTTGGTGCTACAGTTTATAGCGACACATTTTTTTGCGGCTTTGAACAGAAAAACATTTACATTTTATTTTTTTTTTACATATATAAAATTATTGTAAGACAGAAGTACTATGCCAGAAACCTTCCCAGGAGTGTACTACACAACTTCCCAAAGTTTCATAGCGATCGGTTGAATGGTTTAGTAATGCATAAAGGACAAACAGACGGACAGACAGACATATATTCATTTTTATATATATAGATTTGTATGAACAATATTGTCAAGAGACTTCAGAATAAAGATGATTTTTATATTTCTACTACTACGAAAGAAAACTGATTTTACTTGTACGTAAATAATAATTCAAATTTATTCATTTTTGTTAATATAATCAAGCAGTGATATAAAGGGTGGATATATTTGATTTGTTGTCAAGTTTTGTATATTTTTTAACAGAAGTGAAAGCTAATTTAATTCTCCAGTTAAGCTCGACTCTTGACAACTTAGTGTGAAATTTTAAGTTTAAGTAACCATTTTCTTTATCGATCATTATGAAACAGTAGACAATTTTCTTACAATTCGGTGTCGTAACTTAGCAATAACTAATCGTTAAGTTGTATCTGAATAAGCCAGAGACTTGAGTAGAATTGACACAAAAATCTTTGGATAAATAAATCGTATCTTCTTAGCAAAAGGCTGCTAAAGCACCACATAGCAATTACTCCCCTACTTCCACACCATCTACAACCCCACCAACCCTCTGCTATCTATGAGAGGACAATAATGGCAGATACGTCCGTCCCGATCTACGGCCGCCATTGGATACGACAGAACGAATCTACGCCCCTCAATGGATAGGACAGAACATCACTGATAACGAACCACAAATATCCGCACAAAACTAGCTAAGGATCGATCCCACGTTTTTTGATTGGTAATAATTCCATCATGGCCATGAGTTTACAATTCCATATTGATACCTTTTACTGGGTATATATATATATATATATATATATATATATATATATATATATATATATTTATATATATATATAAATTATATGTTATATAAAATTGGAGCTTAATAATGCTAAATTTAAAAAAGTTAATTAACTAATAATCAAGAAACTAGGACATATTTTTTCATCCCAAAAAAATACAAAAATAATAAAAATTCTTAAAAAAAAAATACTCAGCATGTAATGTCTATAATGTTTTATTAATGTATATTATGTTTCAGCTTGAATGCAAAATAAGGTAAATAATTTATGTTAAATTAAAAATTTTAATAAAATATATTTTTTTAAAATAATAAATAAATATTGTCTAAAATATATAAAGAACTAGATAATAAGTTTAATATCCATATAAAAAATAAACCTGAAATATATATTTTGGTTTAACTAAATATTTTTTGTTTTTTATTTAATTTTTAGGATTTTTTTTTTTAAAACTACTAACGGTTTGACTGAAAACGAGATTTCGTCTACATATTAAAATTAAAAAAAAAAAATATAAAGGTAAACTGTTTTTTAATATTATATTTGGTAAACTGGTTCTAAAAGAAAGCTTAAAAAATGACAAAAAAATGTTACATATAACCAAATAGAATTTATTAATTATTAATAAAAAAGTTTCTGTATCTTTTTGGGGTGAAAAATTGTCTCCTGGTTTGTTTATTATTAGTTAACTTTTTTTAAATCCTGAAAATATTTACTCAAATATATAATTTCATATTAATATAATCTTTGACTTTTAAAAATTGAAGTACATAAAAATTTTAAAATATGGTGAAGAATTCTGTCAAAAATATAACATAGTGTTAACTATTTAGTAAATGTCTATGCTTCAACCTAAAATTTTTGTATTTAATATTCTTGATCACCATCCACCCCAACGTTTGTTTTTTTAATCATCATGTACTGTACAAGAAAAATAAGAATGCATATTAAAGTACTTAATTTATTTTTAACAAGTATATTTAGAACGAAAATCAATATTAATTTCGAAGTACGGGACTGCAGGCGGCAATAAGTAATAACAAGCATTTCCCTCCTTTAACCTTGCCTTAATTATCTCTTCAATGTTATTTTTTTAAAAATAATTATCGTAGACTCTAAATATTTAAAATTTTATATATTTTAAAACGTATTCTGTTCTTATGAATATTGAAAAAATAATCAAAATTTAGATATTTAGAATATTTGATGTTTTTAACGATATTTTAACGAATAAGAATTAAATACTTGTAGCCCTGAGGAAGTCAATGCAGACCCGGAATCACATTCAGAAATGTGACAAAAGACTCCCGGTTACTCTATTGTCGAATTATTCGTTAACTGGGGGTTGGGACGGGGAAGTCAGCAAGGGGAAGAACTTCATCAATCTTCCTCGGCCTGGGGAGAGCTCGCATCTGTCTTGTCCCGGCAGGATGTCGCGGCAGAGATCTGTCGTCTGGGTGTCCGAACTGTCGACGGATCGTCTTAGGTCAGTTATCCGAGTACAGGACACCTCGATGGGTAAAAAAATATATAAAAATTACTCACATAACAGGCGAAGATTTCAGAATTTTCAGGCCGCCTTGAAAGAATATATCGATACGTTATATCAATGATAAATCGAATTGTTTCGTCGGGAAGAAGACAAAAAATAATTTCTTGGAAAAATAAATTGAAGAAAAAAAAAAAAATTGGTTCTGATAAGAGGTTCGTTCGTAGAATGTTCCCATGCGTTGTGTCCTTGCTTTAAATAGTTTCACGTTCTCACAGTGGCCACCGTATTTTAATTTATTCTAGACCTCTTTGAAAATAATATTCACAAACAAAATATTTTCTTTTATTTTGTACTTTAAAACATAAATGAACTATAATTTTAAATAAAATAAAAAAAATAATAATGTCACATTTTTTTATCTAACACTAAAGATTTTTTCCCTTAAAAATGGCGTAAAAACTGGTTGGATAAAAGAAAATAAAAAAATCAAATGTGTGTTTTATTTAGAGAAATAATTTTTAATCACCATTGTTAATAAAAAAATATGTATATTAATTAAGTATGAGTTAATATATATTTTTTTAAATTGATACATCATATTTTAATTATAGTACAGGAGCTATTTACAATATTGTCAATTTCATTATAAATAATTATTTAGGGATGATTATTAATAATATAATTATTTGTTTTACAAACTAGAAATAAACATAGAATGTTATCAATAAATATAAAAAATATATATAATATTCAGATTCGGAATTCATTGAAGAAAATAAAATTTTTATAATTTCAAATTTTGCGAACATAAATGTAGAAGTTAAGAGTAAACCTTTCAAAAAATAAATCAAAATAAAATTCGTGTTGAAGTAGATTGCACTTGGAGTTTGTGCTTGACGAGGCCAAATACTCAGAAATAAATAAAATAAAAAAAAATATTAGTATTTTCATACAGATTTTTTTATTAAACAATTTAATTTATAATAAATTTTGTGTTTATAGCAAGTGGTTGAGTATCGTGATAAATAATACTAATTTATTACGAGGCTGCTGATCCATAGTAGACAAATCATACAAAAACATGTGAACATTCATTTCATAATTAGTCACACAAAATCTCTAAATTTTAAATTTTTTTTTTTTAAATTTGTATTCGCCTCTACCCTAGAGGGTCATTGGCGGTTTTTCTTAATTATTATATTTTACTATAGTGATTTGTTTCCATTAAATATTCGAAGAGAATGGCGATATTTGCCTCCTGTCTCCCAAAATATCTTTCAATGTTGTCGAAAGCTTTAGTTTTTGTCTCTCTTTCTTATATAGGGGGCACTCTAATAGTAAATGCTTGACTGATTGAGGTGTATTGTCACATTTTTCACAATAAATAATAATGTAAAAAATTTCTTACATTATTATTTATTGATAAATAATTTTAAAGAATTAAATGTGATATAGTTCACATTAATCATTGTTATAATTTTGTTTTAATATTTGATAAATACCTTTTTAAATTATCTTTTGACAGGTTAAGTGCACTTAGAAAAGGATAATTAATAATACTTTTCAAAATGAGAATAGTGTTTTTGAATAAGCATATATAATAATGATGGCTATATGCTGAAACGTACAGCTATATATTAAAAAAAATAAATTGTGGGACAGAAAATCTATAATACTTAATGTAAAAGAGTCCCACTATTATAAATTTTATATAATGTTTGTTGAAATATGTTTAAATTGAATAACCAATTATTTTTTTAAACATGGATGATAAATATTCAGTGCGCAGTATTTTTTTTTTTAATATAATTTTTTATTCATGCGAATGTCTCAACCCAAACATATGGTTCATCTTCAGGGCGTTGTTTGAGCACTTTCGGGGAGAACCGTGTTGAAGTCTATCCTTACCACGCCCTGAAGAAGACCCACATGTTTGGGTTGAAACGTTGGCATAAATAAAAAATATTTATCACCCATGATATGTAGAACAGTCGAATAACTTCCTTCAATATTTTATTAAACTTTCGTTGCAACTTTGAATGAAAACTACGCTAGAAGAGTACGATCAGTTATTATCATGAGGTCAATATTCGTAATTTTTTTTAATAAGTTTTCTGGAAGGTGGAATCGAAATATTAAAAAATAATAATTTCTGAAAAAAAAAAAATAGAATAACTATCTAGGAAAAAATCTTAAGAATTACATGTAGCACTACATTGAAGAGTGTTGATATTGTCTCTGCCTCCCATTGAGGTGTTGTAATGATCTAGAATTGGGCAATTTCAACAGCTAATATATACATATATTTATGTATTTAAGATGAATACATAAAGAAGGATATAGATATATATAGAGGACTCACCCAGGACTGGAGTGCCGGTAGTTGGGAGGGGTGGTGTAGTGGGGCGGTGGGGGCTGGGCGACCGGGGAGGATTTGGCGCCTCCGAAAGCCGCCTCCGACTGAGTGGACGTCGTGACGCCCCAGACCGTCGTCACCACCGACAGCTGCTGCTGGGTCCCTCCGCCGCTACCTCCGGGCGACCACTCCCTGCAAGGTGTAGCAACAGTCTCAGGGTCAGGACTCTGCCTTCGCACTCCGGGGTAAGGGGGTCCAAGTGGAGAGGAGCTAGGGGTAGGTCTGGGTATCGGAAGGTGGAGTCGGAAGGAAGGAAGTCCAAGAAGAATTGGTGGAGAAAACAGAAAGAGAACAAAGTAAATCGAAGGATCGGAAGGCGGAGTCGAGAGGAAGGGAAGTCGAAGGGAGGCCTAAAGAAGAATTCTTGGAGAAAACAGAAAGAGAAGAAAGTAAAGGGATTCAAAGGCCAGGTCGATACAAGAGTAAGGGAAGTCTAGGTGAGGTATAAGAGGGGAAACTATGCTATAGGAATATGTAAGGGATAATAAAGAAAGAGACGAAATTAAAGTCCTAGATATTAGTCCTGGATTCATTATGGTCCGGGAATAAGCGGATACAAAGGCGAGGTCGATAAAAGTGTAAGGGGAGTCTAGGTGAGGTATAAGAGGGAAAACTATGCTAAAGGGATGTGTAAGGGATAATAAAGAAAGAGAAGAAATTAAAATCCTAGATATTAGTCCTGGATTCATCATGGTTCGAGAGTAAGGGCGATTCAAAGGCCAGGGAAGAATTGTTGGAGAAAACAGAACGAGAAGAAAGTAAAGGGATCCAAAGGCCAGGTCGATGCAAGAGTAAGGGAAGTATAGGGGAGGTATAAGAGGGGAAACTATACTAAAGGAATATGTAAGGAATAATAAAGAAAAGGTGGAAGAACTATCAAATTTAGAAACTAGAAACCATTGTAGTCCTGGATTCATTATGGACCGGGAGTAAGCGGATATAAAAGCGAGGTCGATGCAAGAGTAAGAGAAGTCTAGGTGAGGTATAAGAGGGGAAACTATGCTAAAGGAATATGTAAGGGATAATAAAGAAAGAGTGGAATAACTATCAAATTAATAACTAGAAGCCATTATAGTCCTGGATTCATTATGGTCCGGGAGTAAGGGGATACAAAGGTGAGGTCGATGCAAGAATATGGGAAATCTAGGTGAGGTATAAGAGGGGAAACTATGCTAAAGGAATATGTAAGGGATAATAAAGAAAGAGAAGAAATTAAAAGCCTAGATATTAGTCCTGGATTCATTATGGTCCAAGAGTAAAGGGATCCAAAGGCGATGCAAGAGTAAGAGAAGTCTTGGGGAGGTATAAGAGGGGAAACTATGCTAAAGGAATATGTAAGGAATAATAATGAAAGGGTGGAAGAACTATCAAATTTAGGAACTAGAAGCCATTTTAGTCCTGGATTCATTATGGTCCGGGAGTAAAGGGATCCAAAGGCCAGGTCGATGCAAGAGTTAGGGAAGTCTAGATGAGATATAAGATATGGGTATAGATGAGATATCTAGACAGTTGGAATACGATCAAAAAGTATTTCAGAAATACCTAAATAAATAAATTCTAAATACAACGAATTCATAATAAAAAGTATTGCTAGATGGCCAGCAGAAGATTAAAAATATTGACATTTCGTTCCAACGACGTTGTCAACAAATTAAATACAACTGAAACTTGAAGATACTAACAACCGATTATTCTATAAACATAATTATATAAAAAGAAAGGGGGGAATATTAAATATGTAAATAATGATAAAGTAAGAACATGCAAAATAATAAATATATGAAAAAAAAAAGTGCGAATCAGACAATAAACAGACGAAATAACACAGTTGAACGAAAGAGACAACAGAAGTAATAGAACAAAGTTGAGTGGGAAAGGTAATTAAAAAGCGTGCAGTATAAGGAGAGAAAAAGAATGGGATAGGATAGTTGGCGATTTTTGAGATATTGGAGGATATGTGTATTTTGGAGGGTACATGGATGAGTGTATGAGTGCGGAGGCAGATCTCTGACACTCCTCACAATAAATTTATCAAATAAAAAAATAAATATCACAAACATTATTGACAAAATTTCCTGAAAAATAAAATACAAAAATAAATAGTCTCTATAAATCATAAAAAAAAAACGAAAATAAAAACACAAAACTACAGGTGCATGCGTGTTAGTAAGAGGATTAGGACGAGGAGCATGCAATCGGTTTCCCTTTCTTCCTGAAGGACTCCAGGACCTCCAAGAAGTGCCTGAGACAATCGAAGGAGTCCTGGTTCGCCCTTGCTCGGGCTGAGGCCATGGGAACTTCGGCAGGACACACCATGGGAACCTCCTGCACAATTGATACCTTCAAAGGAAGTCTGTTCAGCTCTGAAGTTCAACTCAACAACTCTTGTTGAGATATAATCAACAATTATTGTTACCATAATCTATCTATTACTGACAAATTTTTCAATTTTCGTAAAAAGTTTAAAGCAATATTAATAACTTGATCTTTTAGGGGTACTAAATAATTGCGAGTCAATATAAATGATAAAATATAATACATGAATACAGTTATTCAAGTAATTAAATTAGAACTGGAATTATGTAAATTGTAATTGAATAGACAAGTTTAGCTAGGAAAAACATGAAACTACGCCATTTCTCATAGTGACATATATATGGTATATTTTGACGATGATGACACAAATCGGAAACTTGTATAATTTATAATATTTATTGAAATACACACATTTTGTTTTAATTTTGATAATACTCAAAAGCCTATATGACTTAATCGTACAAAGAAGACTCCCTCCTCAAGCTCCAATCAACAGGAATATATATAAACTATTTGAACTATTTCATTGAAGAGCCATGTTCTTGTGAATTATACAATTTCGAAAAATCATAATATTGTATAAAGCTAGAAAAAAAATTATTTCATTTGGTTTTAGTTAAAATGAAGTTATAATTTGTAAGCCAATTTATTATTATTTCAATTTTTTAAAGTAAAAGTTGGTTTTTGTAATGTTGTATAGACTCTTGGTTTTACATTTTTTTTTTTAAACACACAAACATACTTGATAAAGAAAATTACTTGTTTATTTATTTTATTTTTAAACTATTCTTTATAGACATGAGCTACAAGAAGAGGAGTATGAGTTACAGAACTAGAATGCTTGCTAAGGGGTTGGGCAGCTTAATTTTAGAGTCCCTTCTGCCACCCTCCTTTACCCCCTAAATCATTATTTTTAGAATAGTATTTTAGGTTACATATTTCGAAATGAACAACACAATTTCATCACATTTAATACTGATTTAATCTTAAAATAATCAAGTAGATACATTTATTTGTTACTTAAGGTTAAAATTAATTTGTTCGCACGTTTTCCTTTTGCAATGATCTGGTCTGGGAAAATCGTCAAAACGATTCGCGAGTTGTAAAAAAAAAAAATGAATTAACTGCATTTTCCACGAACCTAAACAACAAAAATATTTGTATATCTTTTAATTTTATTTAATAAGTTTAAGTAAAAAAGAGATTGCTAGAATGTAGTAAAAAATAACTAAAACATACATTAGGGGGAAATAAAAATATTGTATTAAGGTACAAATGATCATGAAATTCATCAAATCTCAAAAAATTATTTTAGTGGATTAATTTTGAGTTTTAAAATTAAAATTATCACAAGCCTTGAAGAATGGTGTAAAAATTGGAGAATAAAAATAAATTCCAACAAATCCCATCAAATCACTTTTACCCTCCGTCGTAAACCTATGACCTCTTGTCCTACAGTATCCTTCAATAATACTCCACTTATTCCTGTTGAGCAAATCCGCTACTTAGGACTCCACCTTGACAAACGACTCACTTGGAACCCCCATACCAGACTGAAACGACTAGAAACCGCCCGACGTTTTCGACTACTGCAGCACTTACTAGACAAACGATCTAAGCTTTCAATCAATTATAAAAATAATTCCCAAAAGCTCATATTCACCTTAATTGTCAAATTAATGAAAGTTGCGTATTAAGATCTGAAGAGGAAAATAAAAATTAAATACTTAAAATTTGTTGAAAATTTAGAGATAAAATTAAAAATATGTCAGTAGTTGAAATAATTTATTTTGAAAGATATTATACCTAATTTTCATTCTTTTCTAAGGTCCATTTTAATGAACAGTAAATTATAATGAAAAACTAAAGTTCGAATGTTAAAGTATCATAAATAATTTTAAAAATAAAAGAATCCCAAAGGAGCTCTTCATAAAATAGAGCCTATTTTTAGAGACTATGAAATATTCAGCAGATACCACAAGCCGAAGTGTTTACTTGAGAGAAAGCAACTGGTATAGATTTATTCTTATATCATTGGACTATTTGTTTGTTCAGGGTTTTTAAGATTTATATTTTATGAATATTATTCATAAGTACAAAGAATGTTATTATTGATATAATAACTTAATCAGGGTGTGATAAAGGTAATACAAAGAATAGATTATTTTAATTTTATTAATATTAAGTATTAAAGCATAATATAAAAAATTAATATGATTTTTAATGTAAATAGTAGATTTATTTAAGAGGGGCTGAAATTTCAAATCAAATCATTTTATAACTTTCAATTAAATATAAAGAAGTAAAAACAAGGTTTTGTTAGAATTTTTTTTCTCTATCAAAAATGTATTTGCGCCTGTCAAACTTCTTGACAAGCAGTAAATGTGCTGGCGAAACAGGAAATAATGATATGATAGGAATGGAGAAGGAAAGTACTCAGCAGTACCTCTTCCTTGAGTTGTTCCAATTACTTAGGTTGTTTAAGGAAGGAGATCTCTCGTCCAACGCCTTTTTTAGTCTCCTCATGTTCTGAGATATATCAGTCGTAGCTATTTCTCTTATTAGTCAGTTATTATGTATTTGTAAAATGGTTGATATAGGATCGTTATATGTTGATGAACTGTTTGAAGATGGAGGTCAGTAGAGTTTTGTTAGTCACGTACCAAGGTGCTTTTGTTATGAGTCGCAATAATTTTGATTGGAACGTTTGAAGTTTTTGAAGGTTATTTTTAGCAATAACGTATATTTGTGATGAGTACGTCCATATGGGTTTAAGTAAGTATGTTTATGTATTCAGTTTTATGTTTGAAGATTTATAATAAAGAGGATAAAGTAGTTTAAGTCGTTTAAGTGCCTTACGTTTCTGTGTACTCTTATCCACCGAAAATTAAATTTCACTTGTTCTCCCTCCTAAAGTTACTCACTCAGTCCCAATGTTATCCCATCTTATAGTATTTTAATTATTGAGACTAAAATCGTCCTTTTTTTTCTATTTATATTGTTATTTATTTCGACAAAATATTTTATAAAATAAATAAATAAAGATTTATTTCGTCAAATCCAGTTAACAGATGAATGATTATTTGAACGATTACTAAATTCCCTACAAAATTTTTTATTTTATTTATTTTATTTTAATGAAATTTACAAGTGCATTACATTGAAAATACAATAAGTAAATGTGACATTGGTAACATGACATGTACAACATGAAGAGAAACTACCCATTGGTAGCACTCAATTATATTTCTATATTAGAAGGTCCTGAGGGCATCTTCTTTCCAGACGCCTCGGAGGGTTATCAGGAATAGAAGAGGAAGCAAGGTTGGATACAAGAGGGTTGGGATGATTCTGAAGTTTATTATGGAAGGATAGGTATCTGGATTGGGCCAGATCTGAAACATAAGGAACATTAAGGTCTTTATGGATAATTTTATTTGTGACAAAGTAAGGATCGTTGAGGATTTTACGAAGGATTTTGGATTGTAAGGAATGGATATGAGAGGAATTCGATGGTTTAGTGGAGCCCCATAGCTCGATTCCGTAAGTCCAAATAGGTCTTATTATTGTTATATATATGAGTCGTTTGTAATTGATTGGAAGCTTAGAGCGTTTGTCTAGTAAGTGCTGCAGTAGTACACTACAAAACTAAAAAAAAAGTTTTAAAAATAAAATTTCTTTTCCTTGGTCGATTAAAATAAACTAAATGATCAGAATCGATTCCTTCATCTTGTGATACGTTGCATTAATTTACATATTATTTTGTCGTTTGTTCATTGGCCAATATTATATGCGAATTAATCGCACTGGCTAACTTGTAACTATAATATAATATATAATAAATGATACACTTACTATCCCTCCAAAAAAGTGAGTACTCATATGATGTTGACGTAAAAACATCATATATACTTCTTTTGGCATTTACGAAAAAAAAATGGTGTCTTCATTGTATAAATATCCTCAGTGACCAATTGAGTGTCTGTTTACACAGGAAGCTGTCCAAGTTAAAAAAAATCTGTCCAATAAATCCATTCATCAAATACTATTTTGGTCTGTCCCTTTTCCGGCGCAGACCTACTTCTTTCCGTTTATTTCCGTAATGTTAGGTAATGTTTACGAAAATAGATTAAGTAACCCGTTTAATAATAACACGAGGTATCACTGGGGAAAACTTTATGCAAGAGGAAGCGTAATAAACTCGAAAAACTAAGTCCGTGAAATAAGTAGAAAGCGAAAATAATCGATACTTATTTAAAGAACATAGTAACTTAGCTTTTCTAGCTTTAAAGTTCTTGTAATCGCGAACTTTAAAACCTCTACAATAGGGTTATTAAAATATATCGATAAATCGGCATTTACTTTGAAAAAAATATCGATATTTTTGTTCGGTATTATTTATTTTCATATTGAAATTTGAAGATATATATTAAAACAAAGGTATAAACAGATTTCGTAAATGTTTAGGTCCGTCACGTCTGGAATTAGAACAATAACCTGACCGATCCGGTAGACATGTTAAATAAGCTTAAGAAACACTTTGACAATATTTTAAATTCGGGAAATTATGATCTGTGTCCTTCTGAATACCAGTACCATGCTGAACCGTTAATAGAAGAACCGAGCAAAGAGGAATTTCAAGTAGCTATCGGAAAATTAAAATCTTATAAAGCAGCGGGAACCGATAATATTCGTAGTGAACTAATTAAGGCATGCGGGGAAGCTGGAATCTCTAAAATACATTTGTTGATTAAATATGGGATATGGGAAAATGAGAAGTTACCCGAAGAATTGAAAGAATCTATTCTTATTCCGATTCACAAAAAGAGTTCGAAGTTTACCAAAGAATAAATCCGACAATAAAATAAGAGTGATTCTTTAAAAAAGAATCAACGCTGTTCTTATTCTTAATAACAATAACGTATATGTATCTAAAATAACCTTAATATGCTTAATCAAAACATCCGTCAAAATAGATAGATGGATAGAAAGAAAACTTTATTCTGGGACAAGGTCCCTTATGAATAACAGAAAGAACAAAAAATAAAAACTACATCTGGACAAAAATTACATTAGTCAATATTAAAGAATATATAGTATCTTCAGTAAAATTACATTAAAACAAGTAAAAATAACACCATTTTGAAAAGAAAACAAAATAAAAAAAACAACATTATTTAAATGAAAAGAGAACAAAATAAAATAAACATGGGTTGATTTTTAAAATTAAAAACTCTATCAATTTTTACAACCATTCACCTCAGTCAAAATCTGTTTCACAATATTTATAAATATAAAATATAATTATAATATAAAATAAATAAGCAAAACACAGTTAACACCTTAACACCTTTCTGAAAAAAAAAAAACGAATGTTTCATTGTTCAATAGCTGTATCGGTTATATCGATAATATTAATTGAAAGCTATGGACAAAATCGATTTAATAGTTATAATATTTCTAGATAACTAACTAAACAAACCTCTTTGGCTATTAATGTTTAGATTGTAATAACTATTTGTGGAGAGTGAATTCGATTGAACCGTCAGATCTCCGATGTGTAACGCTCGGGTAAAGTCGTCTGGAGACGACTAATTGAAGAGTTTTTACATATGGATTAAATATCTCATTGTTAGCGAAGGAAATGTTCATAATTTTATCCCCTTTGTAATGGGTTATTATTAAAAATTGTATCTTAATGCGTCGCCACGTTAGAAAAGCGAAAAGGAAAACGTAGTGTCGAAAACTAAATGATGCAGAATTATATGGAAGATACGGATTAAAATAACTCATAAACTATACTGTATTATAGAATTGTTCAGCATTTCATCCTCTGTATATTATAATGAGCTATTATTTATAATTTACATTTCATATTATTTAATCTCGCCTTGATCATGTTTTCATTTCCAACCTTCTATCTGTGTCTGAAGCACACAGTTTTATTTTTATTTTTTTTTTATAAAATGTTAATGAATTGATACTCTTTGCGATAAGTGGTTATATAACTACAACTTACAATACTAATTCTTAATTTTTGGTTAAGAAATAGTTGACTGTTGATAATATCGTTGAGGATTTTATATAAAAAAAAGTTGTAGGCCAACCTGAACCAATACTTAATATATTAAAAATATCGATGCTAGGTATACCAATATTGTTTTTCGATATATCGAATTAATATTTAAATGCATTAAAAAAAATATCTGAACTATATATATATATCGATGTTTACAAACCTGTAATAGAACTCATGGTTATAATAATATTACCTCTTTTAAGATATATAAAAAAATGTAATATAATGAAATTATATTGTAAAATGTAATTATGGTATTATAATCCATGTAAGTTTTCATTAAACTGAGTCGGAGCGACCGTGATGTTAACAATGTGTCACATTAGCATATGCATGGATGGTGGTGTGAACAGTGAGAAAACTTTAGCATTGTGTACGAGCAGTCCGGTGTTCACGTGAACCACAACTGAATTATCTAACGAAAAAATATACCATTTCAACATTCAGAATAAAAAAATAACAAGAAATAATTAAATGGTAACATCATCTTAACAAAGAAAATGGTTAGTTAAGTGTAGTATAAAATAGTACTAATTATAATTTTTTTTGTTTAGTATATAGAAAACTAAATAAATATAAATTTCAACAACATTTACTTAATCAGAATATATAGAATTCAAATTTTAAGTATTAATTTTTTACCATTTATTACCTAACAACAAATCTGCTAATTGTCACTACCATGACAGGTACGGATGGAGATTTCAATATCAAAACAAAAAGTATTAATTAAGTACAAATTTAAAATACTCGTCAAGAATATTTGAATATTATAAATTTCAAACTTAACAAGCGACCTCTGCTTATCAATAAATAAATTAAATCCATAATAATCAAAAAGTTAATTTCTAACGATTTTTCTTAAGAATAAGAAAGTATGTATAACTGGAACTTTCTGAACGAGGCAATGATTATATAAAGAAGAGAAACTATAAAATTTGGAGAGAGGGGAGAGAAATAAACAATTTTCAATAACATAAAAATGTTTTTTTAACTCAATGAGAAACCATGGAGTTTCTCTCATATCCAATCAGTACAATCCAAAATCTTTTATAAAAACTTCAATACTCCTTACTCTGTCACAAATAAAATCATCCATAACAAACTTCAGAAACATCTAAACTCTCCCTTTTCTAACCTTGATTCTTCCTCGATCCCTGATAACCTCCCAGGCGTCTGAAAAGAAGATGGCCTCGTGATCTCATAATTTAGAAATTTTATTACAGTGCTACCAATGGATAATTTCTCAACAAGTGTTTTCATATGATTATATTTCCGTGAGTCACATTTGCTGGATGTGTTTTTGTTTTAATAATGCAATTTCGTTGCAAATTTCATAAACAAAAGAAAAATATTGATTTAGATTTTTGTATTCATCATCGAACAAAGGAGAATGAAATTAGAGACTATTGTTTTAGTGGTATCATATTTCTTAGTCGTTTGTAGATCCCATGTTTATTTTGTTATTATTAAATTTTAAGACGATGATAAGTAATTTTATTGAAAATAACTTTTCTCGAAATTCACAATTTAAAAATATACTGTATAATCAGATATTTGATTTACTTACAGATATTTCACAATATCCTTCTCTAAAACTTGGACGAGTCTGTGTTCCTCACGATCACCGAAATTCGGGACGAAAACGTGACCCGGGTAACGAAACGTTATAAACTGTAACCTGTTATTTACAGACGACCTATTGAATTATTGAACTACACTTGACTTCGAAATCACTGTTTACCAAAGAACAAATCCTGACAATAAAATAGCAGTGTTTTTTTTTTTTTAAAGAAACAACGCTGTTCTTATTCTTAGGAACGTATATTTATCTAAAATAACCTGAATATAATTAATCAAAACATCCGTCAATATAAAATAAATAAGAAAAAAAGTGTCTAACACCTTTCTGAAAAAAGAGTGAATGTTCTATTGTTCAATAGCTGTATAGTTTATGTCGATAATATTAATTGAAAGTTATGGATAAAATCGATTTAATAGTTATAATAGTTTTAGATAACTAACTAAACAAATCCATTTGACTATTAATGTTTAGATTTTATGATTTTAATGAAATAATTTCGTGTTTCCATTTTCGAAGTATTTTGGAATTGAGTATTTGTATTTTGTTTGTACAGCTACTTTTCTAAGCTATTCGACAATAGTTTCACTGTGAACAATCGATAAAAAAAAAAACCTGATAAGAGGATGAAATTAACTGTCACATCTTCTGGACTACAAACTGATTATAAGATCTTTTTGAACACAGAAATTTGGGGTTTGGAAAGCATGGCCACGCTAACAAAATACAAATACACAATTCAAAATTCTTCTAAAATACGTCATCGCACAATAATTCATTTAAATCACATAAAACACGATATGGACATTTCAATTAACAAAAAAAAAATATATTTGTAAAAAAGTGTGATGTCGATCCGTAAAATAAACTACAATCTATAGGCTTCGAGATAGTGATGGTTATCGATGATATATCGATAGTTAAAGTGATTATCGATCCACGAGCTATACGGGTTCTCCAGATCTAGGGCTCATGAATGATCAAGGAATTTGAACCTGTCTTTCGATATTCAGCGAATCGAGAAAGAAATACAGAATCGAGTTATCTGTTCAAAGGTTAAGTATTAATAATTAAAACATATTTAATAATATAATACCTTTTCAAGACCATGTATAATATCTTTCGATTAAGTGACAAAAAATAACATCTCTTTGTCGAGTACTTCAATTATTTTCCTAAGATTATAATCCAATCTCTAATGATAAATGACTTCATTAATTATCGCGGAAAATGATAAATTTAAAAACATTTATGTTACATACAATTTAAAGAAATTTTAGGATGTTTAATGAAACGTTTTTATGTAATTCCTTGCCTTTTTTAAGGTATTCATATCATGTTTTCAGAGTTTTTAAATATATAAATAATAAGTTGGGTTCGTACACGAAAAATTTATAACTATAAGTTATTATGGTGTAATTAACGACAAAGACAGTTACTATAAATAAGTCCTATTGTAGGCAAAAAATGAATACAACAAATTATTAATCATTATTTAGTATGACATATTAGACTAGGAGCTACCGACAATTTCATTTAACGTAAGGTCTTAAAAGTATTAAGCATTCTAGATAAAACTTATCTGAACACACAACCTCGGTCAGTCGTTTAAAAGACATTGTTTTATAAGCGAAATTGTGATATGACGTCAAGAATATGTCCCTAAATGAGAATTCACCTTGAATGAAGATTTAATCGTTTGCGTTTTGAAAACTGTCGACGTCAAAGTCATCAAATTAGGCCAGTCAGATGATAGTTGAATGAGAAAAAAATTCAAATAGTCGGTTTCTCTTCGGTTTTTTATGTTTGTTGGGATGCTGAATCTGAATTTGATGTTCCCGAACGTAATTTTCCATTGCGTTTCAAGATATATTTATAACATGATGAATTAAATATAGTTACTTTAGCCAAACTAAACTCATCGAAAATATAAAAAGTACTTTTTGATGACTTTGACGCGTTAGTTTTTAAAACGTAACCGAGTACATCGTCAGTCAAGATGAGTTCTCTTTTAGGGCCTTATTCTTTACATCATATCAAAATTTCGTCCTTATGTTCTTTCGTTAAATGTACCGTCGAATTTTCTCCTCTTTAATTTAAATTTGCAAATATAAAGCTATGACTTTCAACCGACTGTCTGAAGTTATATGTTCCTATCATACCTATATATATATATATATATATATATATATATATATATATATATATATATATATATATATATATATATATATATTGGTCCTGGTCTTGCGCGAGAGTCTCGCAACAGACTTGCAGTTACATATTAGCTTATTACAATAGAGATATTGATGTAATTTTTTGTAAAGGAGAAACCTAACTAAGACCAAATAAAAAAAAATTAGAGGAGTTAAATGGAAAAGTATATTAACTATATCCATAATTGGTAAATGGTTGACTGTCGTGGATAATGAAGAGAAGAATAGTTGGGGTGCTCAGAGGTGGTCAGTCGGTGGTTCTTATTTCAGCTTTCTCAATTTCTTCCCTCCTTCCTTTCATTCCTTTTCTCTGTTTTTAACTCTTTATTATATTATACATTGTCTGTACATCTTGATAGACTTTACAATATCTCAATTTTCTATCTAACTACTCCATTCTCAATGTATTAATTTTACTATTTATTTTCATTTCTTATATAACTTCATATGTCTTTTTTATGTTTTACATTTTATTCTAAGATTCCCATTGTAACACTTATGTCACCCTTTTTGATTATGCCTACTTCATTATTCCACACTTTGTAACGGTTATTATTATTTATCTCTTAGTTCTTAGTCATTATTCTAACAATTTCATTTTACTTTATACTTATTTATTTTATTTATTCATTTTATTTATTTATTTATTTTTTTTTTACCATCACTACTTATGTTTCTCATACCTTGTTATCTGGTTATTTTCTTAGCCCTGATGAAGGCCTGAACTTCAGGTCGAAACGTCGGCATATGTAAAAATAAATATCATTTATTTTTGCCTTCTTTTTTGACTGACCACCCCAACTATTCTTCTCTTAAGTATATTAACTATATCAATTCTTTATATATCGTAACTAAAATTGTTGTCAAGTATTAGTAACTATTTTGCCTTAAACTTTATTCAAAAAATGAATTATTTTTACCAGTCTTGTTCTTGGTCTTGATAAGACAGATTTTGGGCAATACTAATAGAACATCTGGGGTTTATTATTAATAACCGACCTAAGTGGTTTGGCATCGGTTTTGATTCATGGAGTTTTGAAGAGACCATTTATTGTTCTACGGTAGTAGAGAGAGGTGATTAGACTGAGATCACGCTCAACTGCCAGATTTTTCTCCTTTAATTAATTATTTAATTAAGAGCACCCAAACAGACTGGGTGTACCCCAGAGGGTTGAATCGGGGTGAATCCTGGGCAGAGGCAGCTCGGGCGTTCAAATATTTTTATCTTGAAAGCTATTTCAAATCCTCAGAAACGAGATTACAAAACCGCGAGGAGAGCTGGGAGTTAGTCGGAGCGAGGGCTAACTCCCAAAATATAAATTTCTTTAAAATATTCGCTAATTCTAGACGCCGCAGCAGCAGCTTGGCAGCAAGCCCATCGCCTCACATCACCGAGTGTATTTGCACAGCTCCGCGATGGCTCGCTGCACTGACACTTAATCGACAATCAGTTAATCGATAAGTCTGTATCGATTCTCTCATGGATCACCAATACATATATATGTATATTTTCGCTTTCAAATATTTCATTTCTTACAAACACAGATTACTATTTCAAGATTAATATTCAGGATCTACAATTCAATAAATGTATGTTAGAAAGAAAAAACATAAATTTACTTTTCTAGATTTCTAGAAATAGAACAGACCTTTGAACCGAATTCTTTTTTCTAGAGCTCAATTATTTTTTTGAATATTTCTCGATTTTATTTTTCTAGTTGAATCACATTTTTCTGTTTACTTAATTTTTATCCCGTACCACTACAACCCATTTTACGGATCATGGGTTCAGAACTATCTGAGAAAGTACTGTTACAATGCTAACGGTTGTGCAGGCCGATTTCTCTCTTAATTAATTATTTAATTAATTAATACAAAACACTTTATAGATGCTGGGTGCGCCCTACGAGGAATTCCCGACCTCAGGATCGATCCATAGCTAATGAAAAATTACTTGTCATTTACACCAGGAACTTTATATCTGGAAGGCAGTGGTCAATCACTGAGCAACCTATCTTTCTACTTAATTTTTTAAAAATGGCGACTTATATTTTCAAATTTTGTGAAAATGTTTGGGGAATTATGTAATCCTCTGACAAGTATTTACTGAGCAAAAGACCAAAATTCTGCATTGTTAAATATTTTTAAAATTTGTTGATGATAGCACAAGTAAAAACAAATTAGAGTGAACGCACCAATTATGGACATCAACAGCTTTCTTGTTGATTCATTTTTTTTATAGATTGAAGAACAATGCTGTCTATTGACAACTATATCAATAAAGTTCCCAAAAGAAAATTTCAAATATCTATAATTATTGTTTCTACAGTGGTTTTAGTGCAGTGTGTCCCATACCTTCCTACTAACAGTTTTGCTAAGATTAAGTTAAACATTAATGTTATCTTATTTTTATCGTTATCTTCAAAATTCAATAAATATTTTAGAATTTGTCTGAGGTATGTATGTCCTTTACTGGTACCGATCCCCTGTCCATTACTAGAACAATTGAATTTCGGATTTAAATACAGATTACACCTTCAAAACTGAATATATTTTTTTCAATTTTAAAGTGTTAAATAGAAAAAGATGACCCTAAATTCTATAAATTTCCAACGCAGAAGTTTTTAACTATAATAATTACGGCGGCATAAGCCAAAAAAGACAAAAGATTCCTCAACTATGCTCATAAATGGTGCGGTTACCCAATAACATAATCAAAATAAGCGAATACTATGTGGTCATTGCCGTGCTTAAACCATATGATTTTATCCTCTATCTCTTAATACACACACCTCAGGGAAAAATAGTCTGCTTGTTTAATGTTTAGTGAATATATTCTCTCTCCCTCCCCCTCCCGCCTGATATTTGTACATATCTACTTTTAATATTTAAAACAATAAAATTTTAAGATTCGTTTAAGGCTTTACAAATGATCAAATTGGTAGTATTATCATTGAAATGCTCGAAACGTTGGGAAATAAGGCATGTAAAGATATAACAAAATATTTAATATAAAAAAAAAATTATACAGAAGATAAACGCTCTCTTCTCGAAATACCTTCATTAATGAAAATACCTTTTTTGCTGCTGATTATGTACATTGTAATCGGAAAATTTTTTTATTTTTACAGTTAGAGAATATTTTGGGAATTTAGAAAAATCTATAAACGTTTTTTTTTTTTTAATAATGTTATGAAAGTAATATATAAAGTATTCAATTAAGAATTAGTTCGCTTTTTAAATATTTGGACATGTCACGATTGAGCTATTGATTGGTGTATTATATTCGAAATCTAGAGAGAATATGATTATTTTTCAAATGACAGTTGTATTGATAAAAAAAGAATCTTTGAGAGAAATCTATTGTCGATCGGTTTCGTCTCGGATCTCGTATCTCGTAGGTTGACAAATTTATCTGAGACCTAAAGCTACAGGCTCGGATGTTGTTTCCGAGAGAACAATCTTTCGTGTTGTTTACTGTCAATAAAACAAACACCGGGGCTGAGGGCAACAAGTTCCTCGCGATAAAAGTCTCAAGAGACATAAAACTCTAATCAATGAGCGGTAAAATATTTCGGAACGACTAAAGCGGACCACACCGCCGCGGACCAAAGGGGCGGCGGCCAAGTTTACGACGATACTGACAGCCAGGATATCGGAACACCCACCTTCTTCGGGAAATATATTGTCTCGCGGAGGATCGGCGTCTTTACGACTCTCCGATGAATTTTTACTGCGCTTTTAAACTTTACCATCACACTCGTCCTTCGAAGGGAGTTACAATAATATCTTACAATCCTGGCTCTACCAACTGTCCAGGTCTCAAAGTACTATCTCTTAATATTATCATATATTTAAAAAAGTAGAGTGAAGTTGGGTAAGTCCAACCAAGTTTACTTGTTTTTATTTTTTAACTGTTCCTATGAGGTACTGAGGTACTGTGAACTATTAGGAATACGGAAATACAAAATTGTCTATGAGAATGATTCAAGGATCGATATTGATGCATTGTATTCTCAACAAGATCAAAGAGGAATCATTCGAAGGAAAAGTCCTGTCATTTTACAATATTTTATGCGATTAAATGAACTATACATTTTTTTATCGAAAGACCATTTTTCTTTTGATCTTATTTTAATTGTGTAGCAACGCCTCCTCAATATTATGAGATTGTTAGCAATCGGTCAGTTATCGAGGTTGATTGTAATGACCACAATAGCTAAATAAGATAATCATAAAACCAAGATACCATTATTTTGTCCTTAATTCAAAACTTATTATGTATATTTTAAAAAGAATTTGTTATATTGCTACTAAATAGAAGGGGTTTATGTCAGAAGGGGAGGAAAATAACAATCACAATAAATATAAAATATAATAACATCAAGTTTTGTTTACCTATAAAAAAAATCTTAAAAAATAAAAATATGTGAATAAAGAAAAAATATATTTCATGACGAGAATGAGAAGACATAGGATAGAAATATTAAGAATGGGAGAGAACTCTATAAAGAGAGTGGAACCTCTCCTACTAAATAGAAGCTATTTATAGCACATCGAGGGGGGGGGGGGCAAAGAGTATTAATACCCCTCATTTACCCCCCACTACTTTCGGTTCAACAAACTTATCTGTTATCCTCCCACCTATTTTTGGAAGGAGATATTAGAAGAGATGTTGGCAGTGGTGAACCATTCACACTTCATAACCGCCTCCTCTCGGGAGCTAACAGGCCAGCTCATTAGCCGATTAGTTAACTCTTCCGATTTAGTCGACCCACTTGTCGAGTCCTCGGGCATTATTTCGGATCCTCTTGACAACTCCACTGTCTTTTTTTTTTTTTAAGGTATATTAAAATAAAAATATATACTTTTATATTAAAAAAAAAGTTAAAAATTTCAAGGCAACATAACGCCTAACATAAGATGAATTTAATATGACTATCAGTGGGAAGTAAAGTCTAGATGACATATAATACAGAGTAAAAGTCTATAATGTCTCGAGAAAATACTATTGAAAACAAAATTTCAAAATATCTTAACATAGTCAATTGAGATGAAAAAGAAATTTAATCTTGAAAATTGTTAAGGGTACATATTAATAATGAAACTTAAAATAACGAGGAAAACGCTTTATTTTATCCTTAAACATTTATTCTATAGTTAATTTGAATTTCTTGACGAAGTTTCGGACAATTATGCCCAATAATTGTATTTAAAGAAGAGAAGAATAGTTGGGTTGATCATTCAGAAATAAGAAGGCAAAATAAATGATAATATTTATTTTGACATTAGCCAACGTTTCGACCTGAAGTTCAGGCCATCACCAGGGCTAAGAAAAGAACCAGATAACAAGGTATGAGAAACATAAGTAGTGTTGGTAAAAAAAATAAGGTAAAATTCAGTTGTTAGAATAATGACCATAGTAAGAACAAAGAGATAAATGATAATAAGCGGTACAAAGTGTGGAATGATGAAGTGAACATAATAAAAAAAAATGTGTACTTGATCATGTTATGTTCACTTCATCATTCCACACTTTCTTTGTACCGCTTATTATCATTTATCTCTTTGTTCTTACTATTGTCATTATTCTAACAACTGAATTTTACCTTAATTTTTTTTACCTACACTACTTATGTTTCTCATACCTTAATATCTGGTTCTTTTCTTAGCCCTGATGATGGCCTGAACTTCAGGTTGAAACGTCGGCTAATGTAAAAATAAATAGTATCATTTATTTTTGCCTTCTTATTTGACTGATCACCCCAACTATTCTTCTCTTCATTATTCACGACAGTCAATCATTTACCAATTATGAATTGAATTTAAAGGTGACGAAAATGTGTAACATTTGTAACATTTGATAAATTTAAAATAATTTTGAATTTTTTTATTATCCACAGCGGTTTAGAGTTGACTATTCATGAATTTTATAATTTGAAGGATTTTGAGAAGATAAATGTAGCAATGATTATAATATAATGCATATAATAATGATACATGAATATTCGACTTGAAAATGAACAAAATTGCCCAAAACGTCGTCAAGAATTTTTTTTTTTTTTTTTTATTTCTTAAAGACATTTACAACTGTATTAAATAAATACATCTAGTAAATTTGAAAATAATGACCCTAACCACTTGGATCAGTTTTTCAACAATAAACTCCAGACATTCTTTGAACATGGATGGCATTATGAAGTTAGTGGAAAGATGGGAAAAAGACTAGAAATTAAATAACGGTCAATATATTGTAGATTAAAACAAATGTTTTATCTCAACTATATTGAGTTTTATTTCACCCTGAAAAACCGAAAGGACTGATTTGCCAACACAACAGTTAACAATTTTAAGTAATAGTTATTATCATAGCCAACTGAACAAATCAATTATTTATAAATTATTTTTTTCATATTTAAGGCAATAATACTTC